AAGTTTATAACAACGGTACGATATCACCAGGGACTCCGGGCAACACGTGGTCAAGACGAGCAGTCACTGGAGAGCACTTGGTGATATGTACTGTTTCTGAATACTCTGTAATTGTACAGTACGTGTATTAGCAGCCAGCAATAAAGCACATCACACGAGATATGTGTTTACTGTCCCCTGTAAAACATCACAATCAATTTTATTTTTCCCCTATACCCATCTGGGGCTTCTAGGGAGATTACATGGAGCCTATTAGCTCTTTGTGTTGTATTCAGTAATTAACTCAGAATTAAACCATTCATGTGTTTTATTTGATTTCCCTTTATGATTTTTTTATTTGTTTAAATCACTTTTAGCATTTTCTATTTAGTGCATTGTTTTGCAAAAATATTTTGATATCCATTTGTCTATGATTTTGACAACTTTGTAAAGTTATTTTTATAAAATTATATTCAGTGTATTGTTTGGCATTGTGGAGTTCAAGTATTTTCTTTTATTTTATTTGTTCGCTAGGTTAAGCTTTTAGACAACTGTGTAAAACAATTTTCATTGTTTTCCATTAAGTGTATTGTTTCGATATTGTGCAGCTTAAGTTTTTAAAATTTCTCTTCTATTTTTTTTAGCAACATATGTGCATATTTGTTTAATTGTTTATATACTGTTTGTGTGTGCCGTTAAGGTTAGTAAAGTCCATTTTTCATCAAGCCTTAAGAATCTTTTTATTGCGAACTTGACGACATCAAAGTGAACAAAATTAATTCCATATCTAACCCAAAATTATACTAAAGGATTCGTCTGGAGGTTGGATATAGCTCTGTCATTATATGTATAACAAATAAACCAAAATAAAAACAAATCGGTGATGCGCTATCTCAAAATTTGCAAGGTTTTATGGAACATCAAATTGCGCAATGTTCATCAGAAACTCAGACGTTTTTTGTTGATTCTACTAACGAAAAGGTTTTCATGTATGCGTCGACTAAGTTAGGTATACCAGGAAAGTTTTGAGGCTGATAGTTGATTATTTGTTTAAGAAAATGGTATAGTTTCAAAGCTGTTTTTCTGAGGAAAGAAATCTTGATACACCTCCCTTTGAGTACTCGAAGGGGAGGAAAAGATGAAGCCTCTGATGAGATTGCAAAGGAGGCTGCCATGCCATACTAGGTGGGTACTGAATATATAAGGACTTTAAAGTGAGCAAGATATGATATCAAGGGATTGCAGGTAGACTACGACGGGACATGAAACACTTACCGCAATGCGTTTAGCTATAAACACAAACTTTTTTTCTTATAGGAGAGGCAAGAGCGAATGGAAGGACTCTATGTATTCGTGTTAGATGAAGGTTGGAATATTTTTGTGAAATGTTCAAATATGTGAGCAGGAAAAAGCGTGCAGCGTGTGTAGGTTACAAGGTCATTATATATTAGTGTCGGATGCTTAAGCCATAGACAGGCAGATATAACAGGTACCCCGAACAAGCTATGTGGATGTTTGAGCATGGACAGGTATATTTATTAAGAACATCACTGTATCTACTGAGTTTATTTTGATGAAGATGAGGATTATATATGATACGTCATCTTCTTGAGATATAAACATTATGCTTGGCAATCTGATCGAAAGATTCCTTCAGCAGCACAATTGTATTTCGCAAGCATGCATATGCGATGTGTTTTCAAAACTATATCGTGTGTTGTGCTTCCATGCATGTCTTATGTGAGCCCTCGACATGCAATTGCTTTACCATAAGTAACTGTCCATCTCTGTCCATTTGTCACCGTCACTCACTTCCTTTCTCTCTCTCTCTCTCTCATATATATATATATATATATATATATATATATATATATATATATATATTTATATATATATATATATATATATATATATATATATATATACATATGTATATATAGATACATGTATATGTAATATATTTATATGTGTGTATGTGCATGTGCGTGTGCGTGTGCGTGTGCGTGTGTGCGTGTGAGTGAGTGAGTGAGTATATATACACACACATTATGTGAACCCTTTCTTGCAGCCTCATTACCTTAAGCACTGCCTATACTGTTAATGTACAATGGAGATATGTAATACGATGTATTGATATCACGCACGCGCGCGCGCGCGCGTACACACACACACACACACACACACACACACACACACACACACACACACACACACACACAGATATTTATATATGAATTTTGTATCGAATAGGGTGTAGAAAATTATGGTACCCAAGTTTACATTCGAACAAAGAAAATGTAATACAAAAAACTCAGAAGTCAGGGGTAACTTTTACAATCAAGGGCGAAGTGGGTTATTTTATGTGGAGGTTCAAGAGTCTCACTGTGTTTTGGTCTTAATATATCATAAATGTCCCCCAAAAAACTAACCCATAAACATGCTATTCATAATTCACAATATTAGAAAACCATTGATCATACAGTTCGTCTTGGTGTGAAATATTTGTAGTGCCATACCTATATCATTTTATACCAGTCTAGTATAGTTTGTGCTTTCCGATTTTTCGTTTTCTTTTATGGTCTGGAACTGATATAATGAAAAGGTAAAGTAGAATCAGCCAATAAACTCTATATTTGCAGTACGTGAAATAATGATTACATACATTGTTACGTATAATCAGTTATGAAAGTTACGTTCAATTTTAAAGTTTTCGCAGGTGAGAATATTATTATATCTGCATATAATACAAAAATCTGATTTCTATGGTGATGTATACTGGGTTATTCGTATTCTCATGGATATGGCCATTCTAATATGATGTAGGCTAAGCTGCACCGTGGATAAATATAGGAAATATGAATATTTCTGTTCACATCTCTTTCTGCATTGGTTTATATCTATATTTTCAGAAATATTTAAACTGAGATGTTACAAATATATGTATACATAAGATATTTTATTATAAAATATTTACAGGTGGAAGTCGGGGAGAAAGTCAGACGTAAATCGACAGAAATAAATTTAGTAACCAATGAAGCGGTTTTTCAACCAAGACGAATCCAGCTCATTTATGCTCGTCTGCTTGCATGAAAATATTCTTTAAAATCAAAGACACGGAAAAGCTTTTTCGTTACCATTTAAGTATTTCAGGAGGAGTCGCCTTTCTCACGACACATCCTTAGTAAAGTCATTGAGAACATTTTTAATTTATTATGTTTTTATATAGAAACAACTTGTGATTTAAAAAAAACAAAACTGAATGATATTTTGCCCGTTTTCCGAATTAGCAGTTATAGCAGTGAAGTGACGTGGGACCATCTTGGCCTATTCATTAAGGCCTAGAATCATTAAAAAGAACTCGTGATCTAAAGTATGAAGGACTCTTGACACTTGTCCTTTTTCTTACGGACCAATTTGAAAAGCGTCCATCGACTTTTGGTTTCTTTTTGAGAGGAAAAAGTAGGTGAATATAATCTCTGTCTTATTATTTCGCAAAACTTAAGTGAATGCAGTTAATCCTTGGAAAGTCCTTGTATGATAACATAAAGTAAACGCAATTGTCCCAAAAGATCGCCGGATAACTCAGTCTTCGTCACCCATTCACATAAAATAAATCTTTGTCAGAGTGATACAGCACGATTTGTGTTTGTTTAAGGATATGTGTACAAGAATAAAATATCCCTAGAGGTAAAATTAGCTGAGGCATCGTGACCAGTCGAGGCTGCCACAAGGTATTCCAGTTTTCATAAGTTTGTCCAGGACTCGAGTACAGTTTCTTTGTTCGATTTTCGGAATCCGAGAAGACGTTGCATTAGTGAGTAAAGTAGAGCACTGCAGTTCGGAGTTAGGCTGGGTTCCATAATCTCTGAACTAAGTGTTTATTTAGACTATTAAAAGGATCCGAACACAGCAGACTTTGATAAGATCGGTATTGATTGTGTGGGTTAAATTCTTGTAGCAGATGAAATATAGGAAATTAAGTGTATGTACAGTATTCACCATTCATTTAACATAATACAGTGAACTAGTAGAAATATCATCTAGTATTTCACATAGATAGTGTAATGATGGCCATTTCCCTGCTTGCATAACCCTCTCAATTGTAAATAGAGAAACATGGCTCTGGAATACATTTTGCCATGATCCATCCTCAGACGTTTACCCAAGTTCTTTAAACGTTCTGGAAAGTGAAGTTCTCTTATATTGACGGCTGATTTACATTCGCTTGCCCGTAGTGCCATTCTTGAGTGAAATGTCCAGCCCGAAAGTGGCTTGTTACACGCAGTAATATGTAATAGGGAATATCGGTAGTCTTGAGGCAGTGGGCTGCCGGTTGTCACTAAACAGTTACATGTATATAACATTAATGAATAATGTATACAAAAATATTATATCAGCAATGGAATAGGTCAAAATTGAAAAAAAAAGAAAAATGTTAACACTTCCTGCATAGTGTACGATTAAAGTTCAACGGGACCATTTGAAGTTGATGCCAAATGGTGTCAAGATGAAAAACGTTTCAGAACAGGGTTCCTGGAAAATTTAAAGCATGGAAAGGACATTTGTAATTCCCCAGGGCAAGTTAAGGTCTAGATGGGTACCTGTGAAAGAGTTGAGAAATGGCATTTGTTATATTGGTGCGCGTCTCTCTCTCTCTCTCTCTCTCTCTCTCTCTCTCTCTCTCTCTCTCTCTCTCTCTCTCTCTCTCTCTCTCTCTCTCTCTCCTTTCTCTGCCTGTCTCCGCCTATGTCTCTGTCTGTCTGTCTGTCTCTGTCTCTCTCTCTCTCTCTCTCTCTCTCTCTCTCTCTCTCTCTCTCTCTCTCTCTCTCTCTCTCTCTCTCTCTCGCTCTGCCTCGATCCCCCTCCTTCCCTTTTTCTCTCTCCTCACAATCAAATCACCTTCATTTGGTCCATAATAAAACATTCTTCTTTTTCTGGTCAACTGTTTCTGAAATTGCATAGAAAATCGTCTCTGTGAGCTGACACCAGAACCTGATGTTGAGACAATGAAATGGGGCATGATATGTTGGCCAACTCTTTATTAATTTAGATACAAAAATTTTTATATACAGGGGAAATGTTAGTAACACAGAATATACACGATGGCAGTTTCAAGATACGAGGCATGAGACCCGCAGTAGCACCATTATGAACACAGCGTGGAGTTCCTTTAGATGACTGCGTGGGCTTAGGTGGTCATCCAGGTCACGCGAGACGACACAGAGGGACTTCGTTAGTTCCTTTGTTACTGATCTTTGCACAGCATCATTTCTGTGCTGGCTTTGTATTGTCTTTGAATAGTTGGATTGCGTTTGGCTTTTGTTTTGTAGTTTTTTTTTTGCGCTCAGAGCCACCAATCAGAATACTTCGTTGTTATCGTTATTTCTTTTTTATGAGATTTGTATGTCATTTTATCTTGTATATATATATATCTTTTTTGTAGTTTTGAGTTATATTTTGGGGTCATGGTGCTTACCGTGCTCTTAGACCTGGAGATTATGCAGTCCCACACTCATCTGTTTTGCTTATCACCCTTAGAATATAAGAACATAGGGAATGGCAGTGACGATAGCTGGGATCTTTAACATCCCATTATCAAGGTAACGAAAATGTCTTGATAAACTTGATTAGTGTGATATGTTTTCTTGGTTTACTCTTATTTTACTCTAAAATGAAGTAAATATTCTGAAACTGACTTGTTTTGTGGAACTTTTTTTTTATCAAGACTTGTTGATATTGTCATCAAGAAAGAGTACACTTAACAGATAACTTATACAGGGACAAAAAAATAAATCCAAAATCTTAACTTAGCATAAGTTTGAGAGATGTTTCAAGACCTAAGAAAATTTTTATTGTTTTTTCCAAATTACAGTAGCATACATTTTTGTGTGGCAACATAAGTAAAGCTGTCATTTGAAGAAGGACTATGCGTAAAGAGGAAGGGGACGACTGAGGGTCAACTAACTCTAGCAACAAAGCGGAAGGAGACGAGCCGAGTCGTGGGCGCCGCCTCGTGGGCGCGAGTCGCTCACGGGCCCTTCGTGTTCCCCTGGATAGGCCGGTACGACTGCGGGTTGCAGTACTCGCAGTGGCCCGGCGGCCCCTGGGGACCGGGGGAGCCGCGGCCGCCCTGGGGTCCGGGTTGGCCGGGCGACCCGCGCTCGCCCATGCGGCCCGGCAGCCCCACGCCCTGCGGCCCGGGCGGTCCTGCGGGAGAGACGCGTTAGCGGGTGCTCTGTGGACACACACCGGCGCACACACATACATATAGATTGATAAATATATAACACATACATGCATATAGATTAATAAATAGATAACGCGCGCGCACACACACATACACAGGGAGAAATTTTAGAAGTTGGAAGCTAGTCTGCATCGCCTACATATAAACAGGGCTGCATTTGTTCTAATTTTGTTGCTTTTGCGCCTAAAGCAAGCGGAACGAAAATAGATTTTCTTCTTTTTACATAATCTAACTTTTATAAATTCTTGTGTAAACGTGTGTGAGTGTGCGTGTGTGTGTGTGTGTGTATGTGTGTGTGTGTGGTTCGGGCGTGGCGGCGGCGGCGGCGGCGTGACACTCACCTGGTAGTCCTGGCGGCCCTGGCTTGCCGTCTCTGCCCTCGCCCATGAGGCCTCGCTCGCCCTTGTATCCGCGCGGGCCGGGCTCTCCAGCCGGCCCCTGCGGACCAGCGGCGCCGGGGTAGCCGGAGTACCCCCTCTGGCCTGACTCGCCGGGGGAGCCGGGATTTCCTGCGGCAGCGACAGAGGGTTAGATGCGCCTGCGTCCTTGCAGCCGATGTTGGGCAATGTGTTTGCTACTAAGGAAGTTCTTTGAAAATAGTTTAATGCAATCATAAAAGGGGCTATAGACATTCTTTTATTCACAAATTATACTTATTACTCATGACTTTCATCAAACGTTTAAACTTTAGCCAACATTTGATTCAAGGAAAAAATACCTGCCATACCTGTGGGAATTTCTATATTCACTTTCTATGTACAATTTTGCACAGCAGTATTGGAGTTCCCAGTCAACAGATGCATGAACAATTTTTTAAAAGTTGTACTGAAATTTCAACTTGCCACTATTCTACTGTACTCTAAACTGCATTAATCTCTGAGATGATGCTTGAGGATTGCACCAGTTCATCAGACCGGGTCTGTCGATCAGCAGCCCCAACGAACTGCAGCTTGAGGGTTACATTAGTCAGACGCAGGCACAACAGCCGGTAAAAAAGACGAAATCCGATCGTTGTATATTTGGACTCGTTTTTTTTAAATGGCTGTCTCTACGCTGTTTTATTAACCAAGATGCAGAATGAAGTACCTGGGGGGCCCGGCTTTCCTGGGGAACCGGGACGCCCTGTTCTGCCTCGGCCCGGGCGGCCCGGAGGACCGCTGAGCCCCCTCGTGAGTTCCTCCATGCGGTCTGTGTGGAAACAAGCAAGAAGCAGCCTCTGTCGTCAGCAGACAGGGTACGCCGCCGGGACGGGGCTATGGGAGGAGTGATAGCAC